GTTTTTCCTCTTTTTTATCCCTATTTCTCTCTCTCTCTCTCTCTCTCAATTTCTCTTTCCCTTTTTTTATCTATCTATCTTTCTCTCTCTCTCTTTTTCTCATTCTCTCCATTTCGTTCTCGTAAAATTGTCACCTCAATTTTCATTTCATTTCATTCTTTTTCTCTCTTCTTCGTGTTTTCGTGTAAAATTTTCTATTCTATGATTTTATAATTTTTATAGAATTAAAACGAGAGAAATTTTCTCAGCCTGAAAATAAATTTTTTTTTTTTTTCCTTTTTTTTTTTTAAATTTAGATTTTATAAGGGGTAGGAAAATAATAATAATAATAATAATAAGGGTTGAGAGAATGTTTAGGGTGTTTTGAGGGTGGTTAAAGGAAGGTCGGGAGGGAACCTGGGGAACTTGTAGAAAAAAAAAAAAAAGGTGAAGAAAAAAAATAAAATTTTAAATCAAACATTAAAACAACAATAATAATATTATTATTATTATTGTTTCTCCCCCCCCCCCACGTTGTTTCCTTCCTGTTTTTTTATTGTTGTTGTTTTCATTATTATTATTATTATCTTTCTTTCTTTTTCTTTTTCTTTTTTTTTTTTTAATTATTATTAATAAATTAAAAATATTTTTACGAATGAAAAAATATATTTATTAGGCGACGATTAATTTAAAATTTATATTAATAATAATAATAATAATAATAATAATAATAATAATAATAATAATAATAATAATAATATTTTAATATCGAAACGTAATAATAATAATAATAATAATGAAATAATTAAACAAAATAAAAGTTTCCTCGCGTTTCTTAGAATCCCTAAATATTTCAAATATAATTTCTTAACTAGTCTTGGCGTTTCTTAATGTGGCCCGCGGATATTTTCCTTTCGAGATTTCCAAAACTTTTCCCTTCACTTTTCACCTCTTCCTTTTTCCCTTTTTCTCTCCCCTCCCCCTCCTCCCCTTCCTCCTTCTCCCATTTCGGAAACCCATGTCTCCCACTCTCGCGCCTCCGCTTCCTTTTCTATTAACGATTCCCTTTTCTCCCTACACCCTACACCACACTTTTCATTAGGTTTACATCATCGCGAAGAAACGTTAAAGTGAGGCCCCCTACTTCCCCCTACTCTCCCCTTCCTTCTTTCTCCTCCTTCATCCAATTTCATCCCCCCTCGACGGTGGTTAATTATTATTCTGATTAAGTTTTGCTTATTCGATGCTTACTTCTATTACAAATATTTCGGATTTATTAACGACCCTATTTTCCACTTGGAATATTAAATTTTAATAACAAAACCCTAAAACCCTCCCTCCCACCCCCTTCCTCCTGGAAAAAAAATACATATATACACACATATATCTGTGATTTGTGCGTGTGCCAATTTGTCTATAAATATATGTTACATAATTAAATGTTATGTATGTCGTCGGGAAAGAAAATTTTATTATTTTATTATTATTATTATTATTATTATTATTATTATTATTATTTTATTAATATTATTATTATTATTATTATTATTATTTTATTTCGCGTGGAAAAAAAATTTATATTCGACTGATAAGTGTTTTAGGTTTTTTATCAAAAAAAAATTAATTGAAATATATTTGGAAAAAGATAACATGAAAAAAAAAGGAAAATTTTTTTTCTCTCTCTCTCTCTCTCTCTCTCTTAAAATGATATTAAATATTGAATTTGATTCCATTTAGGGAAAAGGCATAATCAACAAGAGACACACACACACACCAGATAACGTCTTTAATAGTTTTTTTTTTTTTTTTTTTAACTTTAACCGCCATTAAGGAAAACTCATCGTATCCAACTGTCTAAATATTTTATAAACCTTTTACTGGAGTTTTAAATGATCAAAATTTTCTTATCCTCCCCCTTCCCCATACCCCTCCTTTTTTTCTTTTTTATTTCTTATTCACCGAACACTTTGTTCCTTGCTTAACATTTAAAAAAAAAAAAAAAAACTTTTTTCTTATCCTTCCTTTTACATTATTTCTTTCTTCGTAACATCCCTCTACTACTACTACCCCTACTACTCTCTTACTCTTTTACACAAACTCTTTCCTTTCCCCTTCTACCCACTCCACACT